GTACCATTTTCCACAACCAACTGGAAATTGTAAAGCGCAAGGACCTGGCTGGCTTTATTAACAAGATATTTATAAACCTACCTTTCAAATATTTTAAAACATTTACACATTTGATAACAAAAAAGATGTATAAAAATAAATATACACACAAAAACAAAAGCCATGCGCTCATTAACAGATAATTCAAGTCTCTTTCCCAATTTAGTAATACATCATACAAAAGTATTCATATTATTAAAAAATAGAAGAGTTGTACAGTTGGATAGTCCTAATAAACTAATAAAAAGTACTTCAGTTCTGTTATCTTAAGATCCCATACTGCAGCTTCCTCTGACCACGTTAATGTAGACAAGCCTCAATCAGTAAGCACACTAATCTAAATCAAATTCCATCTAGTTGAAAATAATCATCATGTGCTGCCCAGAGATGGTGAGCATGAATGGATTACTGAAAATATTCATGGTAATTGCAGGTTGCTATTTATGTTGACCAGATTCAGAGGAGTTTACTTAGAGAAATATCTAAGTATGCAGACCACCAATGCTAAACACACAGGAATATCACTCTTGACATCTACACTAAAAACAGCCCAGGATCCTCTCTGCAATGTCACAGTGTGGTTGTTATTTCATAGTGTTAGATACACTGCTAGTGACAAAATGAAAATGTATGATTGCAGTTATTTTATTTTCAAGAAATATGCTACCACAAGAGGTTTTTTTTTCCTAGTCAGTGGAGTGTAAGTTAAATATTAAGGACTACGTATTATCTTCAAAAGCCCCAGGTTCTTCTGCTTGTAAACAGGTGTGCACAAAATACTAACAGTGATAATAACTGAAAGATGCTTTTTAATTATAAGGAGTTGCTTAACAGATTCCCCAATTCCCAAACACATCTAGTTAACACACAAGTCATGGTGGTAAATGGGGAATAAAGACCTGCTATAAAATAAAGTGGCAATAACACAACGGATATTTAGGCTGGATCCCTTCTCTGTGTTATATCATAATAGTTTTTTATCATCAGCATCATCAGAACTAAATTAGAAATCAGGAAACCAGGGTTCTAATTCCAGATCTGCTGCTGACAATTTAAAGAACTACATAATCACATATACACCATGGAATACTATGCAGCCATAAAAAAGAATGAGACCATGTCCTTTGCAGGGACATGGATGAAACTGGAAGCCATTACTCTCAGCAAACTAACACAGAAAACCAAACACTGAATGTTTTCACTCATAAATGGGAGTTGAAAATGAGAACACATGGACACAGGGAGGGGAACACCACACACCAGGACCTGTCGGGCGGTGGAGGGCAAGGGGAGGGAGAGTATTAGGACAAATACCTAATGCATACAGCACTGAAAACATAGATGACAGGTTGACAGATGCTGCAAACCAGCATGGCACATGTATACCTATGTAACAAACCTGTACGTCCTGCACGTGTCCCGGAACTTAAAGTAAAATTAAAAAAAAAAAAAAAAAAGAGCTATATAATCATGGGAAAAGCCTATAATCTCTGAGCTCTAATTTGCTTATTTTTAAAATGAAGAGTTTGGCCATAAATGCTTTTAAAACAGAATATAAAAATGCAAGTAAAAATGACTACCTAAACCACTAAAATTGATCCTAATTTATAAAAGCAAATATATATATGCCACGGGATAAAAAAGGAATGACTTTCACCAGAGGGGAAGAGCAAAATGACAATACATTAAGAAATTAAATGGTGATGAGGATGCTGAAAAGAACTAACATACAAGCCTTGTAATGAAGAATGCTACAAAATGCAAATAAAAAAGATACTGTCAAACTCTACATTCCCTTTGACCTAGTAATTCTATTTTTGAACACAAATTCCCCCCAAAAAAATTCCTAAAGAAAAATCAAAGATCTCTAAAAAGAATCTCCATAGCAGCACTATATATAAGAGAGGAAAATTAGAAACAACCTGTATGTTCAAAAATAGAGGCACAGTTAAGCAGAATCTGGTTTTGCTAACAAAATGGGACAAAGGCCTATATAGCCATGTTTTAAAATACAGAACTATCTTCAAAGAGTGGATGTATTCATGTGATATTACATAAAATGTAAAGGTTGATCACAAAACACCCTTTTTATGATTTCGCAAAAACCACACGGTTAAAAACTAGAAGATAAATGGAAGGGGTACAGTTAGTTCTTTGAGTTTGTTATTTTGGTAAAATTCATTACACCAGCAAAAAATAGAAGGGAAATGGGGAGGAGAGGATGCTCTTTAAACCACAGTCCAGTTTGTACATTTCATGCTGCTTCTATATAATTTTCTACCATGACAAATATCAACTTATGTCTCTACCTTACATTCAACGTTCTTCAAGCATTTTTGCAAGGATTATGTTAATTGTTGGAAAAATAATCAGCGTTCATGGCACCAATACACGCACATATTAAAGTTTTATACAAAGTCTAGTGTGTCAGATGTATCCTATGAAAGTATAGTGTACATATTGGTGAGCCACTGTCATCCTGTCCCCATATGCCATCAATGGGAAATTAAAGGAAGCATCCAGAGTTAGGAGTTATGATTCCAACAGGGTCTTGGACTCTAAAGTCAACCAATATACGGTAGAAGATGCTATGACGTAAATGCCTTGGGAAACTGTCACATACCTCTTATCTACAATTACTGCTTTCCTTCAACACTTATAGGCGACAAAATCATGGCAAAAGTCATCACTCTGGTTGGCCTGGCAATATATCCCTTTCAGTTGTGGCAAATATATAGTACATGGATTTACTGCAGTACACAGAATTCACAGATATAATTATGGTGTGGTATTTGGCTTCAGTGTATAGCTATAGCATTGGATTATCCTTCTACTAAAAACTCCAAAAAGACATAAAAGGTAAAAACCTAGAATTATCCTAAGTAGCAATTCTCCAGAAGAAACATTAACTGGAGATAACACGTTTGTGTTGAATAGAAATGCTGATGTTCCACAAAAACCTGTGTAAATTTTCTTCCTTCCAAAAAGTTGTTTTTTCTACTAATCAATATTTTAAACAGTATGTTTCGAGCTTTAAGATGCTGGTATCCTTTAACATATTCTGAGAATGATAAAGAAAAAAGTAATGGTGTCATGTGAGAAACTGTCAAAAAAAAAAAAAAAAAAAAAAAAAGGCTAAAACCTAAAATTGGGAACAAGTGGATATAGCAAAACTGTAAAAATCTACCACAGACCATTATACATACTTTTCTCAGTGATAGCTAGAGCAGAAAGTAAAAATATTTTCAATCTTTCACATTTACAACTTTAGCAAAAATCCTGTTTCTCGTTATCCTAAAAAGACACTGGCAAAAAGCTATGTCCAATTTCTACTGTTACCAGCATTATCTAATAATGTGAAAACAAGCTATCATTTTCAAAACTATTCAACGTGCCAAAGTAATTAATCTTAAATCAATGGTTGCTAGTGACACACCATGTGTTTACTTGTAAACAACAAATTATAAGCTTTTAGAAAATGAAATTACCCATTTAAAAAATGAATCTCAAAAATATGCTGCAGAAACGCAACCAATTCCACTTTTTGTTATCTCTCTGAATTATTCTACAGAATCATATCAATATATTTTATACACATTTACAGGTCATACTAGTTCTAGGGTGCCAAGTAATCATTTAAAGATTTAAAGAAAATGGCACACACACAGAACTCCAAAAGCCATATTAAGTTAAAGAAAGGCTGTACACGGATTTAAATTAAACCTCCATTACCCACCAGATGAGATAGCAATTCAGTGTTGAGACAGACTAACTCAAACATTCACCCATTAAAATACCATGTAATGAGGCAGGGACAAGAGCATGCCTTAAAAAAATTAAAAATCAACTTCAGAAAGATAGCATAGGCGTGAGCAAATCCTAATTTAAATAGAAATTAAAATAAAATATAACCTGCACCCAAGAATGTTAGTAGCGAAGAGGCCATTTACATTTCAAAGTCCTCTGTCTATGGTATTCTTAAGTACTATACCACTAAGGTTTGTCAGTTCTGTGGAGACACTTCAATTAAGGCTGTGTGGTAGAGTTCTGTGTAAATTAATTAGTTGAGGTTACACAGATTTTCTAAAAGCAGCTCTCTAAAACAGCCTCAGAGATATGCAAGATTTGTGGGGAATTAAAATTTAAATACAACTTACTAATCAATTCTTCTTGCTTTCACATTTCAATGACATTTTGCGTAATAATAAATAAGTCCATGAAAATACTACTAACCAACATTTTGTTTGCTTTCAATTAGAGCTAAAGGAAAGGGCTTTCAATTTTCCTTTTGATACTTAGGTTTTATTTCAGATTTTATCTAGACTTATTGGCAAGAGTTTCCATATGATAACTATAATGAACTTGATCCATATTTAAATGGGAAATGAGACTATATTTGAAATTCACATATGCTACAACTAAATTAGCTTTCTAGTAATTGCTATAAACAATGTCATAACAAAAATATGAATTTCATACTCCTGCACTGAGACTTTACATGTTAAATTCATTCACTGTAATTCAGCTAAATATTAAAGCTTCACATTTTATCTAATATAATATCATAATTTCCTTTAATTCAAAATACTAAGTCATTTTTTCCTGTAAATAAATTTTAAAGCCATTAGAACCAGATATTTCATAATTATTCTTCAAAATATTATTCTTTAAGTAAAATGTATACACAAAAATGGTAATAATCAGTTACATAACGGTTTCTCCTGTAAATTAAAAACGGAAGAAATCTGAAGATTTCAAGAGATCAGGAGGCTTCTAATTATGTATATAAGAGATTCATGAGCTCCTCTGTAATCCTAAAATAAAGTCCCTACAGTCTCATCATAGTGATTGTGAAAAATTCATACTTGTTATACAGTAGAGATGATTTAGACTTTTCTAATGGCTAATTTGTTTCATGAGCATGGACACTGCATGTACAAATGTATCTTTTAAGATAGTACCATTGAGAAGAGGTTGTCCTTCATGCACCTCCTTCGATAAGACTGCACTGTAAACATCTTCAGGAAATCCAGTCTTGCATAATGAGATTTCACCAGAAGCCTCTACAGACGCCTGCAACACAAGGAAAAAAAAAAAAAGTGTGTGTACAATGATTGCTACCTCCTTCAACTGAGAAACATTCCACTTGGCATAAAGCCTCATTTTTTCAACTATCTTGTACAAACAACCCCTTTGTTTCCAAGTGCTTACAATTAGAATGTAGAGGGCAAAGGGTTAATCATTTTGATAACTGGAGTAGAAGAAACAAATCCCACTTGTCTAGTCCAGTAAAAGCGAAATAATACACATTCTAGGTTCTTCTAAGGACTGAACATTTCCATTAAAATGCTCATTGTGACTGAAGAACTATCAAGTGGGCGTGGGGTTTGGGGGACAGCCAAATAGTCTTTGGGCTCCACAAGTCACCATCACTAACTTAAGTTTTCATGAAAAATGTATACATTCAAGTATACAGATTTTTATATTCTTAGCTAATTCTCTATAAAGTTGGTTTCAAGATGCCATGTTCATTTAAAAAATAAAATCATACTTACAACAGTGGGACAGATAGTATTTTATACCAAGTAAAACCAATCAAAACTATATGCTTATTTCTATAATTTGAAGGACAGTGATACATTAAAAATGTAAGTAAAGATTAATACAATTATGTGTTTCTACTTAAAATTAGAAAGTAACCAAATATCTGTCATTTTCTGTATCATCATATGCACAGTTAATTTACTCAGTGTGCTTAAAACTCAGTCATATCTACTGCTGTCTAGCTAACCCTCCAAGTTAGTTTCCCTACTTCTTTCAGCCCTACTGACACAATTGGAGGACAGTTAGCCCTCAGCAGAGCTACTGTAGCATCTGCATTAATTATAGGAAACTCTACCATATACTGAAGGGGATTCAAATACAGAGGAAGGACGAGTAGAATGAGGCTACCCAATGAAGGGATTTCAGTGGCCACAGGGACAGCATTAGGGACAGTCCACCCTAGTGAGAACCAGAAATTGAAAGGAAGAGGAAGGGAAGTCCCAGAAACAGAGAGATCTCAGAACAACTGTCTGGATGAAGCAATGCAGTGCAGCTTCATAATTAAATGACTACCTGAATTATGCATGTGAAATTTTGCAAATACTAATGTTGCAAAAATCCAGACCAATCTAATAAACTGTTCTTTTCAAATCCAAGAAAATAAAAAATAAATTACATTTAAACAGTATTAAATATCACAGTATTTATTCTCAAAAAATTATTAGGAGCAACAGTGAGATACTAGTCCAGGCTCATCAAATGAATAAGCAGTTTTAAGTCTGTTATGTGCAAGAAAGGGCTGTATCAAGTGAAGAATAAAGAAGTACCAATCCCCTTAAAAGGTGTGAGTGGAAGCTGGTACAGTCACCTTGGCATACTTTTGGCAAACTCTAGGAAAGAAGAATGTGGATATATCCTCCCTACTCCTAAGGAAATATTACCCTACATGAGTGCTCCAGTTGACATGTGCAGGAATGTCCACTGAAGCATGACTGTAATAGCAGAGATTCTGTACATGTCCATTAAAAGGAGAATGGTCTAATACATTATCACAAAGCCAAAAGAAAAAAAAAAACATTAAAATGGAAGAACTGGAACTACATTTATCCAAAGGGCTACATCTCAGAGGCAAACTAAAACAAAACAAAAAGTCGGTTTAAGTTCCAGGTATGATTAAGATATAAATTTAATTATAAATCAACCTAAAGATGACTAGTAAGTTCAGAAACCCATTTGTGTGACATCCCAAATTCAGACTGAAGACAAGGCTCGCTGCAGTATGAAATCTTGCAAAAAAAGTAGAAATCATGACTGATGATTCCACTTATATAAACACAAAAGATAACATAATGTTTTGAACACATACTTATGTAAGAAGAAAAGGAAAACAGCATAGTGATAAACATGAAATTTAGGATAGTGGTTAACCCAGGGGAAGGAAAACTAGGAAAGGCATCAGAAAGACTGTACGAGTGGCTTCAATTTTATCTGTAGTAATTCATTTCTTTCAAAAAGACTCTGAAGGAAACCAGGTAAAATGTAAAGATCTGCATAGACACATAGGTACAAATTCCAGTATGCACCCCACAAACTATCTGCTCTACATATTTCATAACGAAAAAGAGAAAATATCAGAAACCAATTGAGAAATAAGAAGTGAGGCTTCCAATACCCACCAAGTTTGGGACACAGGGACACAGTCTGATACCTGACACGTGTAAGCATCCAGGTACTGTCCATGCCCGGCACAGTGCAGGAACTGAGTGAAGGAAAACTTTTGCTTTTAGCTAACCCAAACACACACAGGGAACTCCTCAGTTTGCCATATAAAATGGACAAATGTGTTGTAAACCTGTGTCCCACCAACATGTTAGGGGTCTGCCTCTTCACCCTTCTAGCCCAGGCTTCTCAGAGCAGTGAGGCATGGCAGGTGCTAGCCCAGGATAGGTGAGGCCAGAGCCCAGAAAGGCAGTGGCCAGAAGCCAGCGATGGAAGGCACGGAGCAGATGAGGGTCACATTTCAAATAGGGGCATTCGGGGTTAGTAGAGTATGTGGGTTTGTGAGTAAGCACTCAGAGATCAAGGAAGTCTCAAGACTAGAGGAAAACCGTTAAGCTTTTATTCAACTCCATGACTGTATCTTGTTTCCCAGGGGATCTGCCCTAAGGTAGGAGAATCAGCAGCACCAAGTTCCTGGTCCAAAACCACAGAAATAGGACTTCAGGGCCACATCGAAGCTGACAGGAAGATGGTGAATGTCCACCTCCGTGTTTTGTTCTCTGCCTTATTTCAGAAAAGGGACCTTCTGTCCTCAATGTGCTGCCCCTTACTAAACCTCTCCATGCTCATTTTCCTCATGTAAAAAAGGGTACCGACTGGCCAGGCTGGCCACCAGAATTACTGAAACAATGCTTTTAAAGCACATCTCTAACAAATACTGACTAGTAATATTAAATATCCATGGAAGTCATGTCACACTTTGAATAATTTCATATTCATCTCAAATAGTTGAAACTTTTCTAAATTCTTCTTCCTCAAGACAAAATGGATCCACGAAATAATATTATCCTGGATCCACAATATAATAATAATCTATAATGTATTTTCTTACAAATAATCTCCATAAAATTATTAAAATATATATTCTCCCTATTTATTTCCTCTCTTAACTTTCAGTCAAAAAATAACAAAGTTAACAAGTTCAAAAAACAAACAGGAAGCACTCAAATGAATACAGGCTCCCAAGTGGACATAGTGGAGGCTTACTTTGTGCCAAACACTGTGCTGGTAAATCAGTATCTCATTCAATTCTCCCTGCAACCCTACAAGGTTGTGCCTGATACCAGGTCTGAGATTGCGGGAGACCAAGAGCTGATGGGCAGAATTCCCTCAAGGGGACTGACTGTACTGTGGTGGTAATCCTTGTTGGGCATTGGAGGTTCTCTGATCTAACACACAGCTAATGCCTGAATGTTCTACAATAGTAGCTCTCAATCCGGGACAATTTTGCCCCCCAGGGGACATCTGTCAATGTGCAGACACATTTTTAGCTGTCACAACTGCGAGGGGGTGCTACTGGCTACTAGTGGCTATGGGCTCTCAGTTGGTTTCTGATATTTTCTCTTTTTCATTATAAAATATGTAGAGTAGGGAAGCCGCTAACCATTACACAACACACAGCACAGTATCCCTAACAAAGGAGTGCTAAGCTCAAAATGTCAACAGAGCCAAGGTTAAGAAAACCTGTTCTACAGCAGCACATGAAAAAGAGGTATCTACCTACCCATTAACACTCCCATCAGTATGAAGATCACTGTCTCCTCAAGTAGCCTCATCACTCTTGGAACACCCTGCATCCTTCAAAGGCAAAACCCAGTCCCTGAGGCTTACTCCCACATAAAGTCATCACTCTGCCAGGCCCAGGATGAAATTCTGGAACTTCAAAGAGGAGAAAGAGGAATCCTACCCTCAACAAGTTATCTGTGGGTATGAGGAGGAGGAGGTGAATAACGTGCATTTTCCTAATATTTGAATGGTGCATGGGTTGGCAAGCTTTTTCTGTAAAGGGTAAACTAAGTATTTCAGGCTTTGTGGTCCATAGGATCTCTGTTGAAACTACTCAATCTGCTGCCATTGTGCAAAAGCAGCCATAGACAATCAGTATATGAATGAACGTGGTTGTGTTCATTTTAATATAACTTCATGTACCCTGAAATTTGAATTTCATTCCATTTTGAAGTCTTGAAAGATGCTCTTCTTCTTTTTCTTGCTTAAAAGCATTTGAAAATGTAAAACATATTCTTGGCCAGACAAAAAAAAAAAAAGGCAGCAGAGTGTAGTTTGCAGATCCCTGCAATAGTGTGTTAAGTTTCGTGTCACATTGTTATCTCACTTAATTCTCACAATAGGCCCGGTAAGAGGGGGTTAAACTATCTGCAGTTTGCTAATGAGCAAATAGATTCTCACACAGAGGTACAGTGAAATACCCAAGACCTCACATTGGAGAGAGAAAGAGGCAGGATTCAAACTCTGTAACCTTTCCAAGTACAACAATTATAATACAATCTTTCAAGAAACATGTACTGAGTATTCATTTGTCACTGGAAATAGAACACAAGATATAGTCCCTGCCCTTAAGGAGCTCAAGACTTAATGTGGGAGGTTAAGATATGCAGAGGATATGAGCAAAGCCCAGGGCAGGGAATCTGGGGGCTTCCCAAGCAGAGCTGGAGTAGCGAGTTGCTAGACGGTGTCAGGAAAGCCATCCTAGGCAGTCATTGCTTGAACTAAAACAAGGCAGCAAGAAACAGCACAGTGCCTGTGGAATTACAATGAGTTCAGTGTCGCTGGAGTCCAAGAAGCAAGGCAGGATGTCAAAAGTTGAGGCCGGAGAGTTAGACAGGGTTAGATCATAAATGGTTGGGGGCTTGGGGTTATCCTGTTGGCTGGGGGAGCCAGGGACAGATTTTAAGCACAGACTGAATGCATCTGACAGAGAATTCTCAGATAGCTTTGTGGGAAATGTGTGT